CCTACCCCCCCCCCCCAAGAACTAATTTCCTAGTCCACAATGTTTTCACAGTTCTCCCCATCCATCCCTTCATCACTCGCAGTGTCTTACTAACGGTTTCTGAACTGAATTTATACTGGCATTCAAACCAGTATACTGAATGGATGGCAACTCGCCTTAGCCCAATTGATCTTTGCTGCAACTCAGAAATCTGAAAATTAATCCAGTATGGTGGTATGCCCATTATGAGGACCTTTCAGCCCTGAGTGACGAGGCAACAATATCGAAACCTTATTCCCTGAAGAGTTCGGGGTTCGGGTAACAGGTTTCACCTCAAGTGACTAACCTGTTATATTCAAAATGGTCTGTTTGTCTACTAGAGGGTGATTGCTACAATCTTATATAAGAAAGGTAAAGAGAATCATGGATAAAATATAAAAAAAGACTTTGGGTTGAACTACCGAACCAATTAAATTCATTGTATAGTTTGGCTCATTTCCATCAATTGTAATGGAGCCAAAGACTAACTATTTTTTGGCTTGGGAATATGATGGAATAAAGCAAAACGACTCACTAAACTGTATGCGCTTCTTTGTTATAACAAAGCAGTCAATCCATGCAATTTTCGACGCGATTTTCACTATGATTTATCGGGAAACAGTCTCTCTGTGCTTTAGTACAGGGGTAAGACTGCGTACATCCATCCTCCCCACCTCACTGAAGGTGGGAGCCTTTGCAGCATTGGGCTGATGATGATGATGATGATGTATAGTTTGGCTCAAGTAACTTACATCCCAGTAAAGTTATACACTTATACCCCAGTCTCTATTCATTAATAATATCGTCGGTTACTCTAATGCCTTCTACCAAGACTTTTGGAACCTGTTTAAATAGAGGTTCCCTATACGTTAATGATATTATCAATAACTTTGGAGTTATTCTATGGAGTCTTCACACGGAGGGACGGGCACTGCATTCTCTTGACTAGGGTGGAGAAGTTCTTCATCTTTATTGTTTCATTCTTGTTCTTTTCAATTTTAAGTTTTAAAACAAACATACATTTATAATAATATGATATTTCACTTTTGCAAATAGAGGTCAATAATACCAGCGCACGGAACATGCATCGTCCATCACCTGCAACTTTCTGTACTGAGTAGTGTTCCACTCTCTTCAAAGCTTGTGAGTCTCCACCTCTGGTTGGGGGTTGATGATTTGACCAAATTAAAATCAAGAAAAACAAAATTTAGGGAACATGACTGTAACTTATGTGTAGCATCACAGCTCCCAGAGTAAGCAATTCATGCTCACACTTCCCAAAACAAAATGACATATGCAATACCAATTAGATTTGACTGTTTAATCAGTACTTGGCAGATAAAATATTGTGCATTTTACATTTTTACTCACCATTTGAAAAGGACCTTGACCCATTCGGTATCACTTTGTATTTTTCTTTAAACAAAAACACATTGTGGAAACCAGACAAGGTTGTATTCAAAATTTTCCAATAGTTCTAGAAACTAACATGATTAATATAAACATAGCTACTCATTGATTCATTATGCAATTTCTATGATGCAACTTTCAACATCATTAAGAAATGTAAATTCAAACCAATACAGTTTCCAATTTCAAAACCCCCAATGTGGAAATATATATATATATATATATATATATATATATATATATATATATATACACACACACACATACACACACACATACACACACACATACATGCAGAATCTATTCAAATATAAGCAGTATTCTGCATGTTATCTCTACAATCATCTTGTGCAGTTGTTGAGATAGTTTCCTTTGTGTTGTGGTTCTTTGGATTCATCTTAAAAGGTAGCCAAATCTTGAATTAGTGTGCTCTTTCTAAGTCTTAAATGAATCAATTGCTCATTAGTCATTACTTAATTGGCTCTAATAACTTATTTGTCCATTCATATTTATAAATGTGGAACGACTTAAATGTTAGATTAGGGCATGCGAGAAGTGCTAAAGCTCTTATACAACTCTCCCAAAATTTTGAAAATATAGCCTGCATATTATACAAAAGCTCCCATATTTGTTTAAAAACTCATATTTTAGTGATAAAATTTGAAGATTAACTGATTAAATGGTAATATTTAAAAGTATCTAAACACTATTCTTGATCCAAATTGTGCATTGCTTTATTATAGAAGGTGAAGTTATTGTAATTAGCAAAAGGCCCTGACTTCCTAATCATAATGGGACGGCCTTGCAATCACATACTAAGTAAAGACAATGGGTTAGAGACTCACAGTGATGGTCCGATTCTGGCAAAGAAATGAAGGGAGGATTTGAGATTCCCATCCGGAACCCTATGGTGAAATGCGTGATGGTGCAGCTGGGTCTTCGGATTTAAAGTTGAAGTGGGTGGAAATGGCGAAGAGAAGAGCTCAAACTCAGCGACCCCTTCCCTTAGCTGCTCTAGGATTTCCACTGCGGGGTGAAGACTCAAAACTTAGCAACCTAAAATGTGAAATTGGACCAGAAATGTGACTAGGCCTACCGTTAGAGAGCCCTGCCGCCGCCATTAAAGCTTACACGACTAACACGAGAAACTGGGATATAGATAATTCTTTATTGGCCAATACATACTCCGTCCCAGCACCCTCCCATCGTCTACAACTTCACATTTCTATTTTAATTAAGATTAAGAAAATTAGTTAAAAACACGCTTAAAAATAATCTATCTGGAAAAGGGGGCAAATAAGCCTTGAATTAATAAAAAAAAGTGCAAATAAGTCCTTCTATAGGAAGCTTTGTCCGGCCGTCTACATTTAAGGCGGTTCCCAATGGATTTTTTTGATGAAAATTTTTGAGCATCTTTTTTATTAAGTCTAGTTTACTCATACCAAATTTCAACTAAAAGTTCAACAGGAAAGGCAGTCAAATAAATGTTTGAAGATAACTGAACAGTTAAACATCGCAGTATAATTCAGAAAATCATTTGACTGCCTTCCCGGTTAAATTTTTAGCTGAAATTTGGTATGGGTAAACTAGACTTAGTGAAGAAGATGCTCAAAAAAATTCATAAAAGAAACTGGAATATAGATACGAAGTACTTCTTTATTGGCCAATACTAGCTATTTTTACGCGCAATGCGCGAAAGCTAATGCCCAATAATCAATAATTTTCATCAATGATTCATACAAACATGTGATATTAATCAATATATTTTCATATTTATTACTCCCTCCGTCCCAAAATTATCTTCATAGTTACTATTCACATGGTCAACTCAAATTACTCTTAATCTTTTACTTTATATATCAAATTTTTATCAAACTTAAATTTTCTTGAACAGGCTTTGTAGCGGTTTTAATGTAGTTTCTGAATATGTAAATTTTATTTACTAAAAATAATCCGAGTGTGAACAGGGATCAAGTTGCTTTATCGTCAGTCAAACATCGTAAACCGAACTATGAAGATAAATATGGGACGGAGGTAGTAATTTTTTTCCGTAAATGATATAGAATATATTCTATTATATGTGTGGTAAAAAGTCGGATCAATCTCGAGCGAGACAACATGTGAGCATAAGAGAGTTTATCGCATATCGATTGCATGAAAGAAAAACAGAATTTTCCATTTTATTACGTGCTAAGAGATTATTTCAGCAATTTGTAGTTGATGCTTATACTTTAATTGAGTCGAGCAGGTTGAAGTATATCCGCAATAATCAAAAGCAATTAAGGTGTGAAATGTACAAAGGGTTGGTTGATGCTCTATTGCGTGGTGACACGAATCCTGCGACACAAGGGAAACGCATAATCCTTCCTTCTTCATTTACAGGTGGAGCAAGGTACATGATTCAAAACTATCAAGATGCAATGGCCATCTGTAGATGGATTGGGTATCCAAATTTGTTTATAACTTTTACATGCAATTCAAAGTGGCCTGAAATAGTAAGATACGTTGAAGAGCGCAATCTGAAGCCAGAAGATCGTCCAGACATTATATGTCGAATTTTTAAGATGAAGCTGGATGGTTTAATAAATGATTTTCGCCGCAACAAAATATTTGGCGCGGTTAAAGCAGGTATTATTTTAAGTTCAATTGTTTGTATTAACGATTACTACTTATATTTCAATTAATAATTATTTTAGTGATGATTACTACTTTGTTATGCAGTCATATACACTATTGAGTTCCAGAAGCGCGGATTACCCCATGCCCATATACTGTTGTTTCTTGAAAAAACTGAGAACTTTGCGTCATCGGATCATATTGATAGGATAATTTCAGCAGAAATTCCTTGTGAGAAGAGTGATCCTGAATATTTCAACGCAGTGAAAGACTATATGATGCACGGACCATGTGGAAGTGAAAGAAAGAATTCACCGTGCATGATAAATGATCAGTGTTCTAAACACTTTCCAAAGAGATTTGTTGAGCACACCACTTTGGATGAAGACGGATATCCAGTATATAGGCGAAGAAATGATGGAAGGACGATATCCAAAAATGGAGTAGATTTGGATAATAGATATGTGGTGCCGCATAATAGATATTTATTGCTCAAGTATGCAACACATATGAATGTTGAGTGGTGCAATCAGTCCAGATCTATCAAATATTTGTTTAAATATGTGAACAAGGGTAATGATAGAATAACTGCGACATTCTACCAAAGTGCCGGTGCTGATGATAAGAATGTCAATGTTGATGAGGTAAAGATGTATTATGACTGTAGATATATTTCATCATGTGAAGCTGCTTGGAGAACTTTAGGATTTGAAATCCAATATAGAAGTATTGGTGTGGAGAGGTTGAGTTTTCATTTGCCTAATGAGCAAATTGTGTATTTTAATGATTTGGAACCGATAAATGAAGTTCTTGAGAAACCAACAGTGAAAGAAAGCATGTTCCTTGCTTGGTTTAAGGCAAATGAAATGTACGCGGAAGCACGTAACTTGACTTATGCTGAAATGCCAACCAAATTTGTTTGGAAGCAAGCTACTCGAGAATGGGTACCAAGAAAAAAGAGTTTTGCCATTGGTAGGCTATTTTATGTTCCACCAAATTGTGGTGAACTTTTTTATCTTAGGTGCCTTTTGAATTTTGTTCGTGGTCCAACATGCTTTGAAGATATTATGAAGGTTGATGGTGTCCAGTATAGTACTTTTCGTGATGCTTGCTATGCTTTGGGCCTTTTAGAAGATGATAAAGAATATGTAGATGCAGTTAAAGAGGCAAGTTTTTGGGCAACTGCATATTTATTGCGTAGACTTTTTGTTGCTTTATTACTTTCTGATTGTCTAAGTAGGCCAGAAGAGGTTTGGGAGAAGTGTTGGACCTTTTTCTCAGAAGACATCCTTCATAAACAACGTTTGATGCTTAATCATCCAGGTGTGTTTTCATATCTTATTTAATAGTTAACAATTTTTTTTATAAATCCATTCTATTTAGTAAATTTCTTTATTGAGTAAATTTTATTATTGTAGATCTCACATTAACAGATGTGGAAGTCAAGAACCTTGCTTTGTTAGAAATTCAAAAGATGTTACGCAAGTGTGGGAGAAGTTTAGAGGAATTTGAAACCATGCCAATTCCAGACAATAGATTCTTATCAAATAATGGTAATCGGCTGGTGTATGATGAGTTAAGATACGATCGGGTAAAGTTGGTTGAGGAGCATAAACAATTGCTTGGTAATCTAACTGCTGAACAAAGAGCTATTTATGAAACAGTAATGAATGCCATTGATTCAAATAATGGTGGAGTTTTCTTCGTATATGGATATGGTGGAACAGGAAAAACATTTGTATGGAACACTCTTTCTGCCGCTATACGTTCTAAAGGAGAGATTGTATTGAATGTTGCATCAAGTGGCATTGCCTCACTTCTGCTGCCAGGTGGTAGAACTGCACATTCTCGATTCAAGATTCCGATTCATCCCAATGAAGACTCCACGTGCAATGTAAAACAAGGGAGCGCACTTGCTGAACTTCTTATTAAGTGTAAGCTTATAATTTGGGATGAAGCTCCAATGGTCCACAAATATTGTTTTGAGGCTTTAGATCGAACTCTTCGTGATATCTTGCGATTTAGCAATCCAAATAGTCAGCAAATGCCTTTTGGTGGAAAGACAATAGTGTTTGGTGGAGATTTTAGACAAATCCTTCCTGTCATACCCAAAGGAACAAGGCAAGATATTGTGAACGCGTCTATAAATTCTTCTTATTTGTGGCAACATACAAATGTCATGCGCCTAACAAAGAACTTGAGGCTTCTTCATTTGTCATCAAATGTTCAGTCAGAATACCTCACTAAATTTTCTGAGTGGATTGCAAGCATTGGAGACGGCACTATTGGAGGACCAAATGATGGTTTTGCAGAGATAGAAATTCCTGATGAGTTCTTGATTAAAGATTTTGAGGATCCAATCTCGAAGATGGTAGAATGCATCTATCCTTCCCTTGCTATCGCTGATGACGATCCGAGTTATTTGGAAAAAAGAGCAATATTGGCACCAACTCTTGATGTTGTGGATTCCATCAATGAATACATGCTCACATTAAATGATTCTGAGTTGAAAACATATCTCAGTTCTGATAGCCCATGTAAATCAGATGCCAACCTTGATTTCTTAGCAGATCTTCATACTCCAGAATTTTTAAATGGAATTAAAGCTTCAGGAGTTCCAAATCATCAACTGCATCTTAAAGTTGGCACACCTGTTATGCTAATGAGAAATATTGATCCTTCTCAAGGTTTGTGCAATGGAACAAGGATGGTTATCACAAGATTGGGCAAACATGTGCTGGAAGCAAAAGTTTTGACGGGAATTAGTGCAGGTGAAAAGGTGTTGATACCAAGGATGTCTTTGACACCATCAGATTTGAGATTGCCTTTCAAGTTTCAAAGAAGACAATTTCCTCTTATTGTCTCATATGCAATGACAATAAACAAGAGTCAGGGACAATCTTTATCTAATGTTGGATTGGTTTTACGCAAACCTGTTTTTAGTCATGGACAATTGTATGTGGCTCTGTCCCGTGTTACTAATCCACATGGTTTAAAGATTCTTATATGTGACAAAGAAGGTCAAAGTACCAATGTAACAACAAATGTTGTTTTTAAGGAAGTGTTTCGAAATTTGTAAACATTCATAACTTTCATTTGGTGATTCACTATCAATTTAGTAATGTTTTTCTTACTTATAATATGATGGATTTTAACTTATATTTGATAATTAGTATCATTAAATTACAAGAAATGTACTCTTATATGTCAAATTACTACATACCACATAGCATACTAGATGTACGATTCATATTATTCAAAAATCTATTATTTAAGATGTTTTATAATTTTCCCGTGCATCGCACGGGTATAATACTAGTTAGTTAAAAACACGGTTAAGAATAATCTATGTGGAAAAGGGGCAGATAAGCCTTAAACTAATCAAAAAAGTGCAAATAAGCCCTTTTATAGGAAGTTTTGTCCGGCCGTCGACAATTAAGGCGGTTCCCAATGGATTTTTTTGATGAAAATTTTTTATCATCTTTTTTATTAAGTCTAGTTTACACATACCAAATTTCAACTAAAAGTTCAACTGGAAAGGCAGTCAAATAAATGTTTGAAGATAACTGAACAGTTAAACAGCGCAGTATAATTCAGAAAATCATTTGACTGCCTTCTCGGTTAAATTTTTAGCTGAAATTTGGTATGGGTAAACTAGACTTAGTGAAGAAGATGCTCAAAAAAATTCATAAAAGAAACTGGAATATAGATACGAAGTACTTCTTTATTGGCCAATACTAGCTATTTTTACGCGCAATGCGCGAAAGCTAATGCCCAATAATCAATAATTTTCATCAATGATTCATACAAACATGTGATATTAATCAATATATTTTCATATTTATTACTCCCTCCGTCCCAAAATTATCTTCATAGTTACTATTCACATGGTCAACTCAAATTACTCTTAATCTTTTACTTTATATATCAAATTTTTATCAAACTTAAATTTTCTTGAACAGGCTTTGTAGCGGTTTTAATGTAGTTTCTGAATATGTAAATTTTATTTACTAAAAATAATCTGAGTGTGAACAGGGATCGAGTTGCTTTATCGTCAGTCAAACATCGTAAACCGAACTATGAAGATAAATATGGGACGGAGGTAGTAATTTTTTTCCGTAAATGATATAGAATATATTCTATTATTTGTACTTAAATTATTTGAAAAATTCTAAAATTGACTCCAAATTTATGAACTAATAATGATAGTAATGTACAAGTACTATTTTTTATTGTTATTTGAACTTAACGTAATAAAAATGTGCTTATTTGTAGTGTATTTGAAGTTAATGCACTAGTAAAGGTACTAATATAGGTTGTAACGTAGTGTTATGTTATTTGAACGTAAGTTAGCTAGTCAAGTTAATTTCTAACGGTGTAATGGCATTTTAGTCTATTAGAAAAATTTAGTACTATATTTTAGAATGAATGTACAAGCCTTTATGCATAAAAAGATTGACACAAATTAGGGATACTAACTCATATTCACAATTATAATGTTTTTAGATTAGATTAGATATACTCCGTCTCACGGTCCCAGCACCCTCCCATCGTCTGCAACTTCACATTTCTATTTTAATTAAGAACTAGACGAAGTACCGTGCGATGCACAGATTATATCTAGGGTCTGTTTGCAACAGTTTCTACTTTTTAAAAAATGTTTTTTTTAATGAAATTTGGAGAAGTGATTAAATAAAAGTTGATAGTGTTTGAGAAAAAAGTGATTTTGGAAAGTAAAAGTGGATAGTGTTTGGTAAAATAAGTGTTTTTTGTGTAATAGAAAAAGTAAAAGCACTTTTGACGCGGAAGCCAAGAAAAGTAAAAGTTGTAGTGTTTGAAAAAATAAATGATTTTTAAAGCCAAAAGTTGAATAGCGCTTTTTTAAAAGTAGTTACAAACCAACCCCTAGAGTGGAGTAATAGCCTGTTTGAAATTACATTCAAACACGGAGTATATAATGGTACTTAATGAGCAATTCTTTAAAATAGGAAAGGGAAAAATGTCAAATAGTTTATTCTACTATGTCCAGTTCATCATTTAAATCTCTTGTACAAAAAAGTATCATATAAGTATGTTTGCTTTAAAAGTCGATCAATCAAGTCTTTTAATCGATTTTTGCTATGTAATAGCATGTTTTTTATATTAAAAAACTTTAAATGTTATTAAAATTCGAAGAATTATAAATAAAAGTTGTAGACAATTTAAGAATGTTAAAGTCTATATTTTTGTTTTTTGGAACTCTATGTATTTTACATCTTTATTAAAGTTATTACAATTTAATTTTATGTTTCTTACACTTTCACTTTATTTTTTTTGATTTTTTTGTATTTATTTTTTATGATAACACGTTAAAATTGTCTATCCATTCCTGAACTAATACTATTTTTATATTATTATTACATTATTTTCACATTTATATGAATGTTTATAAGATCATTCAATTGTTTTTAAATTAGCATGATATAGCAGATTAACATGACTCGACCTACGGTGCTTTTATAGTAAACATGCTTATTTGATATTTTATATATGAATTTACGTGATGTATGAGAAATAGTAGAAATGTTGACTCTTCTCCCTTTTTATTAAAAAAAGGTGCTCATTACGTACCATTAAGTTTCAGATGTCTTGACATTTTCTTGTTTTTCTTTTTTGTTATTCTCATATATAGGACAATTGTTGAATATTTTTCTCTATTTTACATTTTGTTCCTTCTGTATCAAAATGGAAATTATCAATGACATTCCTTCAGATTTGATGTACTATCACTCACACTCCTGCACTATAAAGAAATGTAATCTTACTCCCCTCACTGCATTTTAACAATGGTTAAGTAAGTTCTAATATACGTTTTGAGAAAATTACAAATAATATAGTTTTGTAACTTTTGATCGTGTTTGCTATTAATGTGTAATTTTATTCAAACACAGATTTGATCTGATAATTAATAAATTTGTCCATATTAAAAACCCTTTCACCGGGAATGGAACATAATAAAACAACAAATGATCAGAATTGACCTTATTCTATATAGTTCACTTTATTTATGCCTTTGAATTTGAAAATGACTGAATTGAAAAAAATTCAACCAAAACATACTAAAATTGACCAAAAATTGAAACAGACCAAACGAAATAAACCTAAAACCCAATTTTAAATTATATGTGGAAAATATGCACTTCTCTTTCAATTCAGAAGAGGTCTGAACTATTCTTTCATATGAAATTATGGAATCTGGAATTAAAAAATGATGTATTTGATGTCTAGTGTTCACAAACTGAACCATAGCTTGAAAGAGTATAGTTCCGACTTCCCATCTCATAAACTGAACATTTATTATATAAGTTTGTGCAGATTATATGACTGTTCAGTTTGTGAATAAATTAACACAAACTATAACACAAATTTATTAAACTGATTTTAATAAACTGAATTTATTAAACTATAACACAAACTTATTAATACATTTATATTATTAAAAATGATGGTATTCGAATTCATTAAAGAGAAATTGTTCTATAGGACTAACCCTAAACATAAATTCACAAATAGGATTTTTATTCCCAAAATAAGATTAAACATTACCTTTCCACATACCCCTCTTAATATAATTAATACATAGTATAATCAATTGTCCTTAGTTAATGTGCATAATCAGGGTGAGTCAGTTGGCGGTAATCTGGTTGCGGCTGAACTTGGGGAGCGGCGGCAACAGAGTTCTGGTGACCGGCGGCGGCAAGAGGTGGCGGCAAAGCTCTGGCAGCAGTGGCCTAGTGTCGGTCCAAACCCCTATAGGGGTATTTTATCTAGATACACATAGTAAACTTTGAATTAAAATTTAACTATGAAGACAAATTTAGAAATAAATTTGAAATTACCTTCTAAAGTAGCAAAAGTATGAGGAACTTAGGACATGTTTACTTCACCGGTTACTAAACGGTGCTTATTAAGACCCGTGTTAATAAGCGGCGCATAAAATAAACAATGTTGTAAGACCGTGTTTACTTCAAACGGTTTAAAACACCGCTTAACATTAAAATGTCCAAAATAACCCTATGCATAAATATACACACAAACATTCATGAACACAAGTATATAATATAATATGTGTACCCATACCCCTAACCCCTTACCCACCCTACCTTACCCCGACCCCACCCACCGCCTACCCCTACCCCCTACCCCTACCCTACCTACCTGACCCCACCCTACCTACCCGACCCTACCCCTACCCGACCCCACCCTAACATGTCCCCACCCTACCCTACCCCCGACCCCATAGGCCCCTACCCCCATAGGCCCTTACCACATCGACCCCACCCCGACCCACCTTACCCCAACCCCGCCCCTACCCCTACCCTACCCAACCCACCCCTACCCAACCCACCCCTACCCCTACCCCACTACACCTACCCTGCCCCTAGCGCCTCTATCACATCGGCCCCACCCTGACCCCACCACCCTAGGTATAGTGGGGTAAGGGGTGGGGTAAGGGGTATAGGGTGGGGTGATTGAGGTCAGGTAGTGGTAGGGTGGGTCGGGTAGGTAGGGTAGGGGTAGGGTGGGTTCGGGTAGGTAGGGTAGTGGTAGGGTGGGTTCGGGTAGGTAGGGTGGGGGTTGAGGCGGGGTAGGGTAGGGTCGGATAGGGTAGGGTGGGGTCGGGTATGTGGGTAAGGGGTGGGGTAGGTAGGGTAAGGGTAGGTGTGTGGTCGGGTAAGTAGGGTAGGGGTGGGATTGGGTATGTGGTAGGGTGGGGTCGGGTAGGGGTAGGACGGGGTAGGGTTGGGTTGGGTCAGGGTAGGGGTAGGGGTAAGGTGGGGTCGGGTAGGGGTAGGGTAGGTGGGGTAAGGGTAGGGGTGGGGTCGGGATAAGGGTAGTGTAGGTGGGGTAAGGGTAGGGTGGGGGTCAGTTAGGTAGGGTAGGGGGTGTCTGGTAATGGGGTAGGGTAGGGGTAAGGTGGGGTACGTGTAGGGTGGGGGTCGGACATGTAAGGTAGGGGTAGGGTGGGGTCGGGGTAATGGTAGGGAGGGTCGGGTAGGTAGGGGTAGGGGTCGGGGTAGGTAAGGGTATGGTCGGTTAGGTAGGGTAGGGGTGGGGTCGGGGTGGGGTCGGGGTGGGGTGGGGTCAGGGTAGGTGGGGTAAGGGTAGGGTGGGGTCGGGGTAGGGTGGGGTTGGGGTCGAGGTGGGGCAGGGATAACAATAGGTTAAGGGCAAGGGGTAAATTCGGAAACTGAAAAAGCTTAAAGTGCCGCTTAATTAATACATGGGGGGGTGGTATGCTTAATAAGCGGCACTTTAAGCACCTCTTTCGGTTAGTAAGCGGCTTTTTAAGCAGTGTGTGTGTTTACTTCACCTGTCTTACTAACCTAACTGTGACTTTAGCAGTGAAGTAAACACCTCCTTAGTGATGTTTTATACCGTAATTTTTAGGTATTCATTGATTTGTGTACATCAATAGATCACATGTACACAAACTCTCCTTTCAATGTATCCATATTGTGAGGCCGTTTGGCAACCCTCTATTTCGGATTATCAGACAACTTTTTTACTAAACACGTGATTTTTGCTTTTGCGCGCTGAATTGTGTAATAAGCAGAAAAAGTAAGGTTAGAGTTACTTTTCTGGCTGTATTGGCAGAAGTTACTGTAGATGTCCATTTTAGCTATTTTTACATATAATTTTTTCTTTATTTTATTAATAAAATATATTTTAAAAAATATTTTTTCCTAAAACCAGCAAAATCAGCCAATGCAGCCACTTCAGCCAGAACTTCATAAATTTCTGCAGAATCAGCGAAAACAGCCGATTTTTGTACTACCAAACGGGCTCTGAATTTCACTAATATGATTACTTTTTATACAGTTTTTCACAATTGTTTGAATGAATGTGGGCCGGTTATCACGTTATTTATACGGAGTATTCAGGAGCCCGTTGATTAAGTAGTTAACTTAGTTTCAAACTAAAGTTTTGCAGATCAATTATGATCAAAATTACGGTAAATTGCTAATTTATTTTCAGCATTAATTATATGATTTTCTTGAGCAAAACTTTCCATTTATTACCACTTTATCGGTATTGTATTCATGTTCTAACGCTGGCTGAAAAATCAACGGGCTACCTTTAATTTAATTATATACGAGTATATTTAATTTAATATCCAAATGCATGCGGAATATGCAGAATTTATGAAATTTGTAAGGAATATATTATTTAGTGGTATGCATGAACTTCCAAATATATATAGAAGGTAATTAATAAGGCCGGCCAATTCCATGGTCAATTTTGATGCAATATTAATTTCCACTTATGCAATATTAATTTCCACTTATACCCTTTAATGGACAGGAATTTTGCCTCCAAAACATGTAGCAACTTTGCTACTTTATGTTATATATAAGATATTATATAAGATAATTAGTTAAAAATGCGCTTAAGGTAGAATAATCTATCTATAACCAGTGTTTTATAAGGTGTGATGTGTGTGAAGGTCAAGTTCAATATGCTATATTTTTTAGAAGCTACAATGTTCTGTATTCTAAGGTTCAATTAGATAAATTTCTACCAACTTTATATTTGTCTTAAAGGTGAAATGCCATGGGTTTGGGTAGAGGTGAAATTGTGTCGCATGTTTTCTCTTTGAAGTACAAACATCTGTTCCTGATTGAAGCTAGTGATGTGGTCATCATCTGTTTATTACTTCTGTTAATTGGGTAAAACTAATTTTTTCTTTCCTTATTCTAATCTCAGGTGTGGGTAAGAGTTGCCTTCTTTTACGTTTTTCATATGGTTCCTTCACTACCAGTTTCATAACTACAATTGGGTAAATTTTTCAACTAAGGATTTTTTGATGTTGCTGCTCATTCTAGAGTAATGCATGTGGATGATTATCTACAAAGGGAAAAATAGTTTGCATTGGAGAACATTGGATTCCTTTTGCAGCTGGATAATTGCTAAGCTGAATGATAATATAATCACTTTTGAATCAACTCCTAATCTCCTATAGAATATATGTGCATACTTATTGAAAAAGGCAGCATGATTGTGTATATATTTATTCTAATTTCTAAATGCTTCTTCCTTCCGGAAAACTGATAGAGACAACTTTATGCAGCATTGATTTCAAGATAAGGACTATAGAACTTGATGCGAAGCGAATCAAACTTCAAATATGGGATACTGCTGGTCAGGAGCGATTCCGGACAATCACTACTGGTATGTTTTTGCCCATGGTGAATTTTCCTATTAACCATGGATAGTTAAATTGCGATGGATTTTATCCGATCTCTTCTATATTTTCATCATTCCAACAATGCGTAACAATGTAAGTATGTAACATGGAGTGTACCTATGTACGAAGAACCATTGGTCGATACAAACTATTATTAAAAGATGTATACATTTTTGTTTTTTTGTTTAGAGGATAAATGGTTATGATATAATCCCACAATAGATACACAAGATGTTGTGGATTGGCCCATAAGTTGGGGTCAAACCTCCATTCTTGTGCTTGCTAAGCTAGATTGTAGCTTCCGTGGATTATGGTCCTCGGCTAGGTGCGTAGCGAGAGAGGGCTACCTAGTGCATGATAAGGTTCAAAGTGAAGCCGTCCAAAGAGGAAAAGCGCTACATGCCTACATGGTACCGTGAAAGAATGGAGTGTAGCTGTCTTTGGATACCCGACTTGTCAAGAGGTCAGCGATGATATCATCTCACATTGGATCCACAAGTAATTGCATATCGATTCTTAAGTTGGAGTCAAACTTCCAATATTGACCATGTTTCTCTGATGGTTTTAGACTTATCATCATTAGCACCTTAAGAAATATCAACTGAAACTCGGAGCATTTCTTGCTTCTCAACAAGAACATTCTGCAGGTTAGTCGAGCTTTACATTTAATTCCATTTGAAGCAATTCTCCTTTGAGAGGTTTAGTTTGGAAGTAGAGATTTTTTTCTTCAAACTGAGGCATCTATCTCTATATAAAAAGAAGTGGAAAAAGAGGTGAATTTCCCGCCCAAAAACCCGGGTCGAAAAACGGGTCAGGTTTGGTTACAAGCTACGGTCAAATATAAGGCACGTGAAAGACCGTCAAACAGGTCATTAAATGTTACTTTAGTGGTTTGAGTAATTTTCTATCTATTGTCAAATCGGAGAAAAACACTTTAGTCTGCTTTTTAGTACAAAAACATCAGTACGCATTAGCTGGTACAGGTCAACAGCAGTCCAATGCATCTCACGTATCTTTTCTCAGATTTTGTTACATTGTTCCAAATAATGTAAAGACAAAGATAATCAATAAAAAGTACAATCACCTTTCCATTTACTCCACATTTATTCAACCGATGCATCAGACACAAATAAAAGTACTGTACATATCACATGCAGATTATTACTCCGAATTAACTCTAGGATATTAGAATGTTGTGAATCAAACACAACCCACGGCAGTTCTTCCATAAATAAGGACCATTTCATTACTCCATCGGCACACATACTCATCACAAATGGCATGTGATCTCTCATCAGCAAAGTGCATCACAGTAGATCTGCTTGGGCATTGAAAGTAAAGGTTACAACAACTCAACAAGGAGCATATGTGTTGCCTTCCATTCCAAATGAGGAGAGACGAGAGATTGTGTATCATGATGTCCAGGTAAATTATACGGAGTAAGTAGTAGAACTTTGACATATTTCAAGTGTTTGACTTTCTTTAAAAAACAGATAAAAATGACTTCATGCTTCAACTAACTAGCACCCAAATGTAAGGCAGTTCATTCAAACACCGGGGGTGGGCTTACATATATAAATAAGGGAAAGACGATATATTTGAATAACATTCTATATAATTAATATATGGACCATTCTAGAAACTGCAAATATTTCAGACGAATAAATCAGTGCACAAAATTAATTCTTTTTCATGTATGCTTAATTCAATTAATTGTAAAGAACGGAGGGAATATCATTCTAATATATCATAGATTTAGTAAAATATAAGTACTAAATAATTTAATGAATTTAAAGAAATATGATTATACTACGTATATAGTAACATACACATATAAACATGCACGCACATCAGAAAGTTGAGTCATACACACTATTACTTTGGTAAAACAATTGTTATTATAACAGAGTGCTTTAAAAAATTCAGTAGGATGTGTGACATATGATCTCCATATCTCATTTTCAGGAGATACGAGTATGTATCAATCACATATATATGACATATACGGAGTATGAAACATACTTATTCTTCACGCCATATTTATCATATTTTGAGTATATATATAAGTAAAAATGGTTAACTACGTATATTTCACAAGTTGACAGATATTTACAATGGTATGATAAGTATTGTTTTTTTAATCTGATTTATATAGTAACCTTTTTAACAGATCTGTTTGTAATTTTACAAAAAAAAGTCAGATTTATTTCAAAATCTCTGATTTTATTTCAAAATTTTCAAACACATGTGCTATATGTAATAGATACGTAGTACAAATCAAATGCAACCAACAACTATTATTTACCAAAAACAAACCATGGTCATATGTACTTTAAAGTTTAAATTCAAATAATACTGAAAATAGAGTTTAGAGTATATACCCATCATTGGTAGCCAAGGTTGGGATGCCACTGGAATACAATGGGCGTATACAAAGAACGGCGGATTTCGTCGGAAAATCCAATTCATTGACCAGTAAGAAGTGAATCAATTGGAAATATGAAGAGCCACATGCAATTGTTTACAAAGACCAGAGACCAAAGGATAAACCGACGACTCTGTTGGTAATTTGTAGTGGAGATAGAGCAACTAATTGAGAGAAACAATTATGCAAGCTGGACTTACATAGGGTCGACGGGTTGAGGGCGGACAGGGGGAAAGTTGAAGGTAGAAGAAGAGAGGCGGAGAGCACCATATTCACCGGTGCCTCTCCGCAGTTTCTACGGTGACGACGGATAAAGGTGGGGATCAAGTATTTGGGTGAGATACATTTGGTGTACAATTATTAATTATACATTGTACATTGTTTTACTAGGCATTTGCCTATTTGGGTATGAATTAATACTGAGTATAAATGTGAATAGTATTGGGTCAGATAGTTTTGGTGTAATTGTATATTGATTATTGGGTTGGGTTTGCTGGAGAGTGTTAGGGGATTCATTTATTTAAATTGTGTTTTAATATAGAGTAGAATATATTGGTGGTTTTAGTAATTACGATTTTTATTATAAATTATATTACATTCATCCCACTGACATTGAGATATGAGAAGATGATATGGTTATTAAGCAAAATAAGTTTATGTGATTGATATTGAATTAATAAAGTAAGAATAAAATAAAAATAATTTAGATCAACACAAATTTTAGTAAATTTGGTATGAGACAGTCTTAATGATGTTTTTCAAAAATGAAAAATGAGAGAATCTGAACAAGATGACTTGATGAGGTGAATAATAAAGATTATTATATTACTACATATTATTTATGTATAATTGTATAAGCGGATGTTTTAATTTTTTTATGTATGTGTTCCAAATTTTATGATTACAAAAATAATTTATCGTTCTCTTAATAATATTACATAAAGGTTTAAATATCATTTTAGTTACTGCAAATATGACACATTTTATCTAAGGTTTTTTAAAATATTTTCTTTCTTTTCCATCTCTCTAATATGTTTTTTTGTTTTAGTCCATCTCTAACTCTGAAATCACTTTACTTAGAATATTTTTACTGCCAATTGCATAAATCTACTAGAAGCATTTAAATTTATCATTTTATAATTTTTTGAAGCTATATGAGATCCAAAACAAAATACAACTAATTATTCACATTTTTAAAATATGGATTAAGAACCTTCTTAAAAAATCAAATTAAATACTTTCTCACATGAAAAAGAATTAGAGGAAACCTATTGTTACGTTATCAAATGGAGGTTGTTATCATTAGTAATAATGAACTAAAATGAAAATCAACATAAATTTCAAGAATGAAAACAAAGAATATATTTTACAATGACCTAAAACAAAGTGTGTCATATGGAGGATAAAAAAAACATATTTAAACCTTATATAAAATATTTAATATGAAGTATATTACGTATTCCGTGTTATTATATAATTTTGTTATCTTTTCACTCTTTTTTAAGGAATCTTTTCACTCTATGCATTTTGCGTAGTATAAGTTTATCAATCTTGGATGTTATTGCATTATTGTACGGAGTACTTCGTAATTCTTTTTTGGTAGATTCTATGGTATTCTTAATGGGTACCGGAGTTGTCAACTTCTTTTTTTAACATGATTTGATTATATTATGTCCCGTGCATCGCACGGGTGAAAATCTAGTATTGGTGAAAAGTCTTGTGTTTGAGTTCCTCCATCCGCTACTTAGGTCTTTAGCATGAGTACTCTTTTTTTAATCCCAATAATGAACGGATTGTATCGTTAACAAATCTGAATTCATTCAGTGACACATCATCCTTGAATGGCCATAGAAAACAGAGCCTCTATTTGAGTATTTAATGGCCTTTCAGAATTTAGTAACATGCTCCTGTCCCACTTTTGTAGTTCTCTCCCAAACTGCTAATCGATCTCACATCTAAAGCTGGTTTGAGTTGTGTCATGGTGAAGAAGCAATGGTTTTGAGATTTTCCTCCCTAACCCAGGAATTTTAAAAATAAGGCTTAGCACTTCTCTTATGCTCTAGGGCTGTGAGATCAGGGAAAGGCACCGAATGATCAGAATAGGTGGTATCCGTATTGAAGATGCAAGCACCCCTGAGGCCCTGAACGTAGAACACAATTGAAGAGTTTCCCTGAAGGCGTGAACCCACTGTGGGTTTTATCCCTCTCAAATAAAAGGATAGCCAATCATCTTGTGGTCGAGCAGTTCACAGCCCGTGAGGGCTTGATATTCTCTGAATGAGAGTTTCAGTGTATTTAGGAGGCCACTGTTTCTCCCCCTCACAAGCAGCAATCATTGAAAACAGCACCAGGGAAGTGCAAATTAGGTTGAATCATAGTAGTCAATGGCGAGATATGGCGCGTGCCATATGCGCCATTGGCATGAAAAAGTGGTCTTTGCTATAGCGTCATATGTGCCATATGTGCCATATGTGCCATCACCATGCGTCGTGAAAAATACCTTTGAGCCATGGCGATCGCCATGCGCCATGACAACTATGGGTTGAATGGCACAAAGCAGATCCCATTGGAGTCGTTGGTTAGTAAACCCTTACAAGTATTTCAATCTCCATACAGGTATCCCAGGTAAAAAAAGCAATGAGATCGATGTGGTTACGCGAAGTTGTGAATCACAAAGAGCTGGGCCGAATAATGTGCATGCCAAAAGAGGGCTAAACCTCCACCCCTCCTCCTCCTCCTCCTCCCCCTCCTACTAATGCTATTGACATAAAAGAGCCTATAGTAGCCTAATCTGATCCTTATACTTAGTGCACTCGGTCTTTGGATGATGGTTTCAATGATAAAAATAGGGTGCAAGGTCTTGCAATCCTGGGCCCGCCTAAACCAAGGCAGTTCCAACTCAAAGTACTCATTGGCCTTGGTGGGCCTTGGAGTCAGAGCCCTCCAATATATTTTTTTGGCAGATCTGGTTATCTAAAGTAGAGCTAAGCCCATTTGGGTTTGGAAAATTAATTTCGTCATGATTGGCATCGTTTTGCATAAGCATCAGCGCGTGATAACTTGGTAACTCCAGCTACCAAAATGCTGTCACTCCACCAACTACGTGGTGTTCTGTCAGGAGCACGGGTTGTTGAAATTACACATTTGCCATATCAGAGTCATCTCATGTGTGAGTTCGTGAAGCACTGACCCTGGCAGTTGTTCTTTAGTTGTGGAAAACTTCAGTAGCCACTTAAATTCCACCAATGAAAAATGAGACTACCTGTTTGGTATTCTGCACATATATTTGTAGAGTGCCTTAGTAATCACAGTAGACACAAAATATGTGGATGTGTTCATATTAGAAGGTGACGCAGATCCACTCACCACCTTTAATTTTTTTGCTTGAGAGGATTTAGTATCACTTTTGTTTTAGGCATATTTTATTTTGCATGTTTATGAGCTTACTACACGGTGCTCTATCATTGCTTACCTGCTGGAAGAAAACACTGTAAAATAAATTTTTAGATTAATGCTTTTGATAGAGTTTTACTATTGTGCTCTTTGCTGGTTTTTTCTTAGACGTGGTAAAAATAGTTCTCTATTCCATTTGAACAATGAACATCTTCGCTCAATAACACTCCTATAATGCAGCTTACTATCGTGGAGCAATGGGTATTTTGCTGGTGTACGACGTGACTGATGAGTCATCATTTAACAGTAATTTTTCATATGCTTTTATTGTCACCTTTTATATTTATACCTGTATTTTCCTTAGTACATGTTCCTCCACCCCCACCCTATTGCGCAAAACATTTTCATCATTATACGTTTGGGCATTTCCTTATGTATTTTGCTGACTATATTGGTGCCTTGCTCTTTTTCATGGTTAGACATCAGAAACTGGATCAGAAATATTGAACAGCATGCTTCTGATAATGTCAACAAAATATTGGTCGGGAACAAGGCTGACATGGATGAAAGCAAAAGGGTTGAGCTTTTTTATCCATTTAGTGTGTGCTTACATATGCTTTCTTCATGCATATATTGATTTGTGTACCTGCTTTCTCTTTGCTAATCAATGATTGACTTCATGTGAACTGTTTCTTAAGGCTGTCCCAACTTTTAAGGGTCAAACACTAGCAGATGAATATGGCATTAAATTCTTTGAGACTGTGAGTATTATAGAATGTCATGGTCAAATTTAGAGTCATTAGTAAAGTGTTCCTTAATTTTTGCTGGCAATTTTGTGCAGAGTGCCAAGACCAATATGAATGTTGAGGAGGTCTTCTTCTCAATAGCTAGGGACATTAAAACAAGGCTTGTTGAATCTGATTCAAAAGCTGAGGTGCCTGAGCTTCGAAACCATCAGTCTTATCTTATTATATCTCCACCCACCCCCTATTTGTATTGCTTACTTTTTACCATTGTGAGAAGTTTTGATTAGCACTATATGTTGGCTCAAAATAATTGAGTGCGTAGGAATCTCTGATATATCATTATTACTTTCATTTTGGTTTAGTACATTCTGGTCCAGATCGGAAAGCCAGACCGCTTACATACCTGTACGGTCTTCAGTCCAAAGAAATTTGTGGATTGCAGTTCCTGATCCAAACCCAGAATATTTGATCCAGAGTGGTTGCACCAGAATTAAAGCATTATCTCCAATTAATGTTTATGTTTGCACATTCATCCAAGCAAAATTTTATGTTTTAAAAAAGATTAACAGCTTAAGAAGCCTATTTTTCAAACAAGAAAACATTCTTTTGAAAAAACAATTTTGGTCCAATACCATTCCGGTCATACCTGGAACAATCCGTTTGGCTCTGGATTGGAATTATACCATCTTGTTTCAGCTCAAACATTTTTGAAGGTTGCGGTGCTCACCCCTACTTGACCCCCCTGCAGAAATGTTTCTTATTTATATTTTTTAAAGCCTACTTGTTTCTCATGCTTAGTTTGCTTAAACCTTTCAATCATTTCAGCCTCAGACCCTCAAGATTAACCAATCAGACCAGGCAGCAGGATCGACTGCTGCATCCCAAAAATCCGCTTGCTGCGGTTAATCTATATTTGCAATCCTGAGGTGACGGAGACATGGTAATAGAAGATTTGTCCTCGATGGCAACCTTTTTGATCAGTGGAGGATCTTGTCTTATCTTAAAATATTTAGTGTTGGCTGTATTGAACTATTGCTTGACTTCAAACATTTCAGAATCAACCATTTTGCATTATCTCCAGCTGTTAATTTCCAGTGAAATATTTGCTAGTACCTACATTCTGTTCGATTCTTTCTGTAGAGTTAGCTTGCTTTATGCTTTTTTTTTTTGAAATATTTTCAGTATCCTCTTCTGAGTTCCGGCCAACCCATCCCTTCTTCTAGTGTTACATGATTGTCCGCCTCCATCCATGCCACGACCAACTAATTTAGATGGGTGACTGAATCTGTATTCATACTGAGACAGTGAGAATCCACAATCTATCTGATGGATGTATGATGATCCGCTTCACTGCCTTTTCCGTTTTAAGTGGGTAACTTCTGTGTGCACTTCTTTCACATACTCATATTTGTGCCACGCCTTGAATAGACATTGTTCCATTTTCCAGACCTGTCTTGTTCTATGTTCGGGTACCCAAATGCCGGAACCTTGACCAGAAGTCCAGAACTATGGGGCAGATGAGTGATATGGCCACTTACGATCGGTGATCCTGGGCCAGGTCTTCAGGGTGGGGTTACCCGTAACTGGGACCGAGTTATTTGGGCATGGACTGGTTCCAAAAGTGCAACGGTACCGGTTTTTGGCTTATTCTAAAAAAATAAAAACCCGACCTTGTAGGGCCCGGTTCAATTTAGGATGAACTGGCTTGGAACCGGTTCATAACCAAAATTAATAAATATTGGAAAAATTGATAGTAATAATCTCAACTATTGGTGGTCCGCCTATAATAATCCCAAGTATCGATTATTTCAGAATAATCCCAACTTTAGGGACCTTCCGCCAATAATGGTCCCTATAAATAAATTGTTGTAGTTTCTCAAGTGGATGAGAAGAGATATAACAAGTAATCCCTATAAATAATCCCAACTTTTAATTTTTACGCTTAATTTCTATTTAAAATTCACTTTTTATAGGAGGTAATATTTGGTCATGGACCATTATTGGCGGACGGTCCATATAGTTGGGATTATACAAAAATAATCAATAGTTTGGATTATTATTGGCGGACCGGCAATAGTTGGGATTATTATTTTCAATTTTGCCTTTTGTATTTCATTACAACAACAACATCCAAGCTTTAGTCCCAAAAGATATTGGTGTCGGGTAACATGAATCGATACATGATATCACCACCAAAAGGAAAAGAAAGAAAATAAAGGTAAAAAAATAAGCTATTATAAAAAATATAATATAAAATGAGATTAATATACCTAAAAATGTTAAAATAAAAAGATAAAAATATGTTTACATATATAAGGATAAAAGAATAAAAAACAAGGTGCATCACTCGATCTTCTATGCACATGAGTTGACCAAACCACTGTAGGCGCGAATCCCGCATCTTGTCTTCAATAGGTGCTACTCCCACTGTTTGTCTGATTGTCTCATTTCTCATGTGGTCCTTCTTAGTATGCCCACACATTCAATGCAGCATGCACATCTCTGGCACACTCATCTTTTGAATGTGACATTGTTTCACCGCCCAACACTCTACGCCATACAACAATGCAAGTCTAATTGCCGTCCTATAAAATTTACCCTTCAGTCGAGTCGGCATACCTCTATCACATAGAAATCCTGACACACTTTTCCACTTCATCCACCATGTTCTGATTCTATGGAATACATCTCCATCTAGCTCAACGTCCTTCTGAATTATGGAGCCCAAGTAATGGAACATATCACTAACTGGTATTTCCTTACCATCTAGAGTAATTTCACTATTACCACTGCTTCTACCTCCACCAAATTTGCACTCCATGTACTCTGTCTTGCTCCGACTTAGTCTGAAACCCTTGTTCTCCAATATCTGTCGCCATACTTCCAACTTTGCTTTAAGACCTGATTGCGTCTCATCAATCAATACAATATTGTCAGCAAACATCATGCACCACGGTATTTCGTCTTGAATTGACTTCGTAAGTTCATCCATGACTATGACAAATAAGAAATGGCTCAGAGTCGATCCTTGGTGCACTCCGGTAGTAATAGGGAACTCCGCAGTCCTCCTTAGGGCTGGGCACGGGCCGGGTCGGGGCGGGTAATGCAAAATAAAATGGAACCGCCGGTTGCATTGTACGGTTTGGTTCGGTCCGAGTATTACAATTTTCAAAATAGGAACCGGAAATTACCCGGCCCATTTGAAACGGGTCGGTCCGGTCCGGGTCTTACGGTTTCTATTCTCATGTCTTGAAATTAGTAAAAACTCACGAAGTTCCAAAAATCAATAATCACTCATATAGGACATTAGCAAGTTTCAAAATAACAACATAGTGGTGCATATATAACACAAGCGAAAAGTCCAATACTCCATATTTTCTTGTATATAAGTTTCAAACAATTAAAGAAATTCCAAAAATATGCAACATAGCCAAAATACATATTTTCTAACATTTGTTTTTAAACATGTTGTCTAACATCACATATTAAAGTGATTGTTTTTTTTTTATATTAAATTTTAAGTAATAGCCAAAGTTGACACATACATGGTGGGTGGTAAACACAATTTATATATTTTAATAACAATATAATAAAAAAATATAACAAAATCATCTTTAACAAATAATTAAATTCCATAGAAAGGAATAATTCAATAACAATAAAAAGTAATAAGATATTTATGAAACATTTAATCAATAATTTGAAAACAAAAGGATGTTACTGCAATTCAATTTAAAATCCTACTTCTAGCACAGGACAAAACTATTTCAAAACCGATTATCACAAAACTATTAATATACAATATATATATAACGGGCCGGGCCGGGTACCCGTTATTTTTTAATTTTGGAACCGGTCTGGTTCCTTAAAAAAAATTACCCGACCCTACCCAGACCGTTTTATGGAAACAAAAAATGGAACTGGCCCGTTTTGGACCCGAACCGCCATTACCCGGACCGGACCGGACCGCGGTTCCAAGACCCGTTTGCCCACCCCTAGTCCTCCTCCTTACATTAGTATGAACACTAGTAGTACAATCCTCATACATATCCATGGTGATGCTGATATACTTGCGTGATATGCCTTTTTTAGTTAAGGCCCACCAAAGAACTTCTCGAGGTACTCTATCATAAGCCTTTTCTAAGTCAATGAACACCAAATGAAGATCCTTGTGAGCGTCTGTGTACTTCTCCATAAGCTGCCGAAGAAGGTGAATGACCTCAGTCGTTGAGCAACCATGCATAAAACTGAATTGATTCTCTGAAATCTTCACAGTTCTTCGAAATATTTCCTCAATCACTCGCTCCCAAAGCTTCATGATGTGACTCATAAGCTTAATCCCTCGATAGTTGGCACATTCTTGTACATCACCCTTATTCTTGAATAAGGGGATGGGAGTACTCTTCCTCCAACTCATTGGCATCTTGTTGTTTTTGCAAATCATGTTGAAGAAACTTGTTAACCACTCGATGCCCCTCTCTCCCAAACTTCTCCAAGCCTGGATCAGTATGCCATTTGGACCCACTGCTTTCTTCCGCCCCATTTTCCTCAGAGCCTCCTTAACTTCCGGTTTTTGGATCCTTCTCACAAAATCACGATTTACCATACAATCTGATATGATCAAATCACCAATATCTTGCGCTTTGTTCCCATTGAATAGTGTATCAAAGTAAGACCTCCACCTCTCTTTTATCTCTCTGTCCTCCATTAGTACCCTTTGATCGACATCCTTCACACACTTAACTTTTCCTATATCTTGAGTCCTATGGTCATGAAGACGAGCAAGTCTGTAAATATCTTTTTCTCCTTCCTTAGAGTTCAATTTTGCATACAATTCCTTGTTCACTTTTCCTCTTGCTTCCTTTACAACTTTCTTTACTCTTCTTCTAGCCTCCTTGTACCCCTCTATGTTCTCGTCGCTCCAACTTTTGCCCCATTTCTTATAGCATTCCCTTTTGATCTTTATTGCTTGTTTCACCTCATCATTCCACCAAAATGTGTTCTTTTTTGATGGTAGACATCCTTTAGATTCTCCAAGTATCTCTTTCGCCACTTTGTTAAAGGTGGACTCCATTGATAACCACACATGATCATCCACATGTGCGTCATTATCAATGGACCATACATCTTCCTCCAACATTTTCTGCGTAAAAGTTTGTTGGAGATTCTCATCTAGCCTCCACCACTTTATCTTTGGCTCCCCTTGTACCTTAACCCTCCTCTTTTTACCTTGAAAATCAAGCACACGCATCTTATGTTATATTAGACATCACCCCCAGGGGGAGGGATGACGCATCGCTTACGGGCGACGACCTAGCTGTAGCGATATTCATATTTCGATTCATGTAGTGATATTAATAGTTCAAGGACTAAATCGAGTGTTTGTAAAGTACGAGAGCCTAATCGACTTTTTCGTTATAGTACGAGGGCTTATTTGATAGTTTTCCCCGAAAATAATCATCGTTCCCTCCCCTTTTGTGTTCCTCTTTTTGACAGATCCACAAAAGCTCATTTAACTTTAATATTAAATTCATTTCAATACAATATGACAGATCCACAAAAGCTTTGAGCTCATTTTCCCTTCTTTCTATAAGCCAGCACAGAAACAGAAACATGGGTGGAAGAATCTGAATCTCAGGTCAAAAGGGAAGCCAATCGATCGGAGTATGTGTATCTGCGCCAATCGATCGGAGTATGTGGCGGCTTGGTCTGCTTCGCGAGTTGGAGACCTGGACAGTCGATGTTCGTCTTCTTCGATGTCCTTCGTCGTCCTCGCAGATGGGTTGCAGTGCAGATGAGTTGCAGCGCAAATTATTTACAAAAAAAACCCGGCTGTACCGTGTGCACGGTACATCCGGCTGTACGATGGATTTTACCGTAAAACTGGGGCTAACAAAAAACTAAGAAGCATTAAATAATATAAATATATCCACTTTTCATGCCCAATTAATAGCTCAGTTAACTTGTATGGGCCAATTCAATTGAATATGACTCTTCATGGCTTACCAACAAAAATAGCTAATAAATAAATTAACACGTACTGTCCAAATAGGACTCTACAATACTTATTGTCCCAAATTAGACCATATCAGATCGACTGACTTTAAGCAGACTAGATCAGATCAGTTAAGATCAAACAAGACCAGACCAAAATTAAACACAAGTTCAAACCAGGTCAGATCAAATGAGAAAATATTATTCTAATTAAAAACATACTCCGTACTAAATAACTTCACTCTTATTGGTTAGTTAATACACAAGAGATAAATCACCTATTATCACAATACAATTACTCGTATATCGTAAGAGATAAATCTGAATTTAAGTTGAAAATAATTGACTGATAA